TTTAAATTTTATTTATTCAACTATCAACATTAACAGTAATTTTAGAGTTATTAACGACTTAACACGTGACTAATGACGTGATTAATGACGTACTAAAATTATGATATATTAACAATTGTGTGATGCATAATATGACAGAGTTGAGGATGAGTGTTAAGAGTTGAATCAATAATACAATGCCAAAATAGATTAATAAATAGTACATTTGTTTAAATGAAAAGCGTCAAATAGTATGGAGGCTTATAAGGTATTTTAGTTTTTTTTTTTTCCTTTTTGTTAATTCAAATTGCATTACCAAAAAGAAAGAAAGAAAGAAATAATCAGGAAATAATAGACATATTTTTGTGCTGGGTTAACATATGCATTAGATTGTATAAGAAATTAAGACAAATTTTTAAATAAAAAATTATGTCAAAGTTTTTAGTTCTTTATGAATTCTAATTAAAGAAGTTTATTTGTCATAAAATATTCTTATTGCCTATAAATTTATATCTCGTTAAAATTTTTATGATTTCACTAATATATTAATAAATTAAGTCACGTGTTTTACTAAATCAAAGTAGATTTAAACACTTAGAAAATTATAAATTTTATATTCATGATAAAATTTGAGTTTATAAATTTTAAATAAATTAAAAGTTCTAAATGAAAATTAGATATACAATTCTTTATTTTATTCATTCTTATTTGTATTTCTTTTAGGAAAATTGTAAATAGAACACAACTAAAAAATAAGATTTTGAGTGATCTCTCTCTCTCTCTCTCACATACATCTTGATAACTAGTAACATGTTTTAATTTTTTTTTTAATAAATTGATATAATTTAAAACATGCTGGTTGAAATTTTTTGTATGAGTTTATTTAAAATTAAATATATACATACATAAGATAATTCTAACTATTTAATTTTTTAAATATTTATGAATATATCAAAATATTTTACAAGCTCCAGTACTATTTGACTTTTTTTTTCCATATAAGCTCATGTATATGTTTTTTTGATTTATTTTAATACTACTTTGAAATTTTCTATATGTATGAGATTATTTCTTTGATTTATTTTAGTTCGTTAATGAAATTTTTTATTTTTAAAATATGAATTGATGTAATTTTAAATATATTAGTTGAAATATTCTTATGTAAATTTATTTAAAATTAAATTTTTGTATGCACATAAAATAATTCTAACTACAAAAGTTAAGTCAAAACAATTATGAACCCTTATACTATTTGACTTTTTCTATCTTTGCCCCTATACTAATTTTTTGTCCATCTTAACTTTGTACTTTAAAATTATTATCAATTTAACCCTCATGTTAACAATCGTTTGGGGGCATCAATGGCTAGACACGTGGCCAATGATATTTTAAATTCATGATACGTTAGTAATGACGTTACGCATGACTTAACATGATTGAGAGTAGTGCTCGGGGTTGAATTCGTAAAAATTTATAAGTAATATACTAAAATAAACCAAAAAACAATACATGAGCTTAAATAGAAAAAATTAAATAGTACATGGACTTACAAGTTATTTTGATCAGTTTATTAATATTTAACTTTTATAATTAGAATTATCATATATATATATACAAAATTTTAATTTTAAATAAAATTATACAAGAATATTTCAACTAATATTTTTTAATTATATTAATTTATTATTTTTTTTAAAAGTATTATATGTTACTGGTTAATTATATGTAAATTACACAAATAATTTATTAAGATGTATGAGAGAGAAAGAGAGGTAATTCATAATCTTATTTTTCGGTTGTGTTTCATTTACAACTTTCCTAAAAGAAATACAAATAAAGAATAAAAGAAACAAAAAATTATACGT